ATTTTATGGATCACGCTATGCACTTGCCTTGATTAGTGGATTGACTCTTTTATTATATAGTCTTTGATCTAGTATACGAACTAATCTTCTTATTAGTCTATGGACTAATCTACGCACTAATCTGTGGACTAGTCTATTGATTCGTTTATGGGCAAGTCTAAAGTGTAATCTTTTAAGTAATGTGTAGACTATTTATTTAGGTTTATAATATAAAAAAAGTATTTAATTTATTGTGGAAATACTGCAATATTATTCGACATCAAAAAGTAATGAGAGAAGTATGAAAGTACTGAATTATCCATGCCTGACTGGTGCATTAGTTCACGAGTTTATCGATTCTCTGCATTTCTCTGCAATTAGACGAAAAGTGAGTCTTCAGATTTTTGGCATTAAAAGGTCCTATAATTTCTTAAAATAATTTAAAACAAATTGAAAATCTGATATAAATTAGACTGTGACTTGCCCAAAACAGGAATTAATTTTTATGCAAAATTAAATTCAAAAAATTCACCTTTTTGCTTAATGATAAATAAATATTTATATTTTTTCTCTCGTTTTATTTGGCCTTTTTTAACAAATTATAATTATTATTATATTCTTAAAGAAAAACATATGTTATGAACCAATTTATAAATATTACTTTGTATTTTTATTTTGTTTGTTTGTTTTATTTTCATACACAAAACGTGTGAAGTTTACTCATCCAATACGTCAGACAATGTATACACGTTTTCTAAAGAAAAATATATGTATATACGATCATCTAGCATCCATAAATGTTATTTTTGACCTTGTATTGGAGTGTTTATGTTGTTATTGCTGTAGTTTAGTTGATGTTGTTGTTTTCTAGCGAATTATTTAAATGTTGATTTAATTAAAATTTATGGTTAAATAATTTTCCTCTTATTTGGTTGTTAAATGAGAATTTCTATAAATTTTATAAATTATAAACAAAAACCTTTTTTTTTACACAAAAGAGTTTTTTAACAAAAATAAAGTTGTTTTCTTGAGAATTACTAATGTTTGTTTATTATTTATAAACATTTTTTAAATATTTATTATTAAAATATGTTAAACAAAAAGTAGCAATTACAAATAAATTTTTTACAAATACCGTTTTATATAAATTTTAATATAAAATTTTGTATATAATTTTTATAAAATTTATGAAATTTTTGTTAGGTATTCGTTAATATTGTCGACCACTGCTTTAAAGTACTTTTTTCAACGAAAGTACGAAATTTTATTTCTCTGTTTTAAGAAAAATTACATTTTTATTAGTGTTTATTTAAATTTTACGTTATTTATGTTTGGCATAATTCCAATATTGTTTTAAAAAACTAATAAAGATAATTTTAGAAAATGAAATATATTTGAAATTATAAGTTTTTGGAAAAGCCCGCCAAATTGTTACGCCTTAAAAATATTGCAGTAAAACCATTCAAATACATACTTGAGTTTGTTTTAAATATGTATAAATTGTGTAAAAATTTACGCCAAAATAATAAAACAAACAAACAAACAAACAATAAAATAAATTTAATTATTTATCTAAGATTTCAAAAGGTTTGTTTACAAATAGTAAAACAATTTGTTAAAAATATTCAAACATTTTTTTACAGCAATTTTAAATTTCCGCCATGATTCATCTTAAACTATGAAATTTAAAAAGTAAATAAAAGTGTTTTAAATTTGAAATATGTATTTTAAATAAAATTGTATTAAAATTTCTAAAACAAATTTGTTTATATTTCCAAGGCGACTCATTATCTTGAGAGGTCATCTGATTATAATTTCTTCTTTTATATGTATCATGTATATTTGTCAGTCATATATAGAATATAGAATAAAATTGTATGGTCAAGGTTATTCTGCTGCTGTATCTCCACATGAATATACAATATTTTTTTATACAGAACAAAAACAAAATCAATTATAATACATATTAAAAACTAACAACATGTTCTGTGAATTATATGTAAGCAATTGCAATTACTACCACAAACTGCAGACGCTGAATTTATAATTTCTTATCATAGCAAATATTACCATAAAGACTTAAAAGTTTACAAAGTTTTATTCAAATATTTGGCTAAGATGTCCGATTTAAATTTAATAAGTTATTTAGTATTATCAAATTCACAGACAATGCTTCCAAATTAACAATAAACCTCATTAATAAAATAGTTAAAATATTTAATGCAAATTGAACAACCAAAAAAATAAACATTCTAATTTTGTTTATAAAACCGTAATAAACCAATCTGGTACCAGGAAATCGTAAAATAAAACAAAGAAGAGACAACAAAAAGGCGGCCTAAACATTTATTATCACACTTTAAAGCTTTAATTTATGTCCATATATAAACAAAAAAAACGCAATTTGTCGCTAGTCGTACTAATTGTAATTCATCTCTGCGTGTCAACAATTAATAAACTTATTTTTTCTATCTGTATCTGTTTCATTCTTACTCTCTATTATACCTAGACGACACTGTGAAATGTCATTGTTTGTTTATTTTGTGCTTTATACAATTTAATTTTTAATGATTTTTATTATTAACATTGGAAAGTTTTATTAAAAAATTTTATTTGAAACTACAAACGGTGTGCGACCGCTAGAAAAACTACCAACAAAAATTCAATTGCTCTTTAAAACGCCGCAGCATTTTTCGCACACACATAAAACGTTGACAACTTGTTGATGTTTGAAAAATGACAACAATTTGTAAATTATATTTTGTTTTTGTTTGTTTTATATTTGAATTTTTGGTTAACAAGATACAGATGTTAAATAATAAAAATAATAATAGAATTATCAAGTAGCTGCTGGCTATTTTTAAAATGAGTCAATATGTAATAATGTAAAATACTTAGAAGTTTGTTGTTAGTAGAGTATTTGCTAATTGGAAACAAAATGTTGAAAATTTGTTATTTAATTAAATTAATTACGTAATGGTTATAACAACTTATTTTTTGTTTTGAGATGGAAGTCAAAAGAGGAGTTTTTGGAAAGTTATAGACTAAACTATCATTCAGATTAGATTTTTGTCCAAAATGTGGACTAGATTATAAATACAATTATACAATTGACTAGACTATGGACTAGTCTATAGACTAGAATACATATCGGACTATATAAAAGACTATAATCCTGACTATTGATTAGATTTCAGTCCACACTATAATCTAGACCACAATCCTGACAATAGACTATACTATTGTTCAGAGAAGATAATAGTTAAGCTATAGTTCAGACTATAGATTATTCTATTGTACAGACTACACATTTAGTATAGACAATAATCCAGACTAAAGTCTATGCTATAGTCCCGACTACAGACAATATTATATAGATTCGGTTATAGTCCAGAACTTTAAATATTTATTACAAACATAATTATCAAAAAAAAAACTTATTAATATTAATAATATTTTTTCCAACAAGTATCGAATGACTCAAAAACATGACTGGTTTTACCATAAAACACATTTTCATATAAATAACTTCCGTTTGGATGATTACACTAGCATTAGATTAGAAAATATGCAATAATAAATAGTAAAATACCATATACAGGAATTTCAGACATTGACCAGAGCAACTGACAAATAGATAAAAACAGCATTTAACAGGTTTCATTTCATACAAATTATGGTGTATATTACGAATTAATACTAATAAATAAATTAAATATTTGAAATTTTTAAATTTAAAACCATGACTTTAAGATTCTTAGGTGGCATGTATGTAATGGCACTTAACTATAAACAAATATTTTGAAAAGTTTTATTTAAATTATTTATCATAAAGACTATTTTTTGTAAAATTTAAAATTTTCATATGATTTAAATAAATAAATACCTATAAAGTTAAAATTAAGTAAATAATTATTGAGTTTAAAGAAATTTTGATTTTGTTTACTAAATTATTACAAGACAAAGGCTTTATTGGGACTTTAATTTATAATTTATTTATTACAAAAACTACCACCATCATTATTATAGAAAAATGGCTCAATTGTATTATTATTTAATATGTTTTAATTTCTATATATTTGGAGTTGACCCCTTAAGTTCATGCCTGAAAACTACTATAATTGGACATAATTAAATTTGAGCCCTTATAATTACTTAAACGTGACTTGTATATTAATTGTAAAACAAATCAAATTTACGCACAATAGTAATGAACAATAAAATCGTAAAGATTGAAAAGGGCTTAACAGCATTTTATAGAAAGCTCAAATTGAAACAGTAATACAATATTTAATATAAAAATTCATAGTGAATTATAACGGAATTTACTACATTTCTTATTGGATATATTTAAATTATAAATTACAAAAAATTTATTACAAATTCAATGTCGGGTGTGTGTATTCTTTTTAACAAATTTTTTATCAATTTCATTTAAAAAGGTCAAAATACTGACTACTGTTTTGCATACTATAAAAAAACAGTAAAACTCTTTTAGATTTGACTTAAAGAAAAGGAAATTCTTTTCAAAACTTTTAGCAAAATGAACAAATGTCAAAATAGTTTTTACTGTCATTGCACTCATTCTGTAAGTGTGTGTATCTGCATAAATTTATGTTATAAAACAAAATTACTTACTGTACACAAATGTAACATAAACAACTTTTTTTATATGGATATGACTGAACATGACATAAAGTTGTTATTGTAAAAACAACAAACATATAAGGAAGGTGTTTGCCAAATGCTTCGTTTGAATACAGTCTGTAATTTTATGTTTTTTTCCACATACACTCAAACAAATTTCCAGTAAAGACACCCAACAGCAAATGTCAACATAAAAAAAAATGTGTATAAAATTTGCAGCAAACTTGATAAATAGTTGATAAAATGTGAGACACACCCTTTTTGGTGGAAGTGGAATTTCGCAAAAAAAGGGTTTTGCATGTTTACCCATAAAATAAATGACAAATAATTAAGTAAATTTTTTAAAACAAAAGTAAAATTGAAACAAAACTTACCAACACTGCACTCTCTCGTACAACTTGTGATACAGTCTCACGCAATTGGGCAGCCATACCCGGCTTATTTAAGGCCCGGGTAAATTTACGTTCTGCCATTATTTTCTACGTTTCACTGTGAACAACACCACATCAAATCAGCAATAATAATAAAGGGAAGAACAAGTATTTTTTAACTCTTCCCCCTGGTTTGTTTTTGTTTTCAAAATTTATTTTTAGTTGATTCTAGTTTGTTTGTATGCAAAAATAAAAACAACAACAAATCACACGCACAAATCGTACACACTCTCTGTTTTTACTCTCAAATAACACCAACAACAAATTTGTTATGAAAACCGTGTGATGTGGGGAAGTGCGAAAGAAGATTCTTGTTCTTGTTGTTTTTTGCTACTGTTTTGTTTTTATTAATTTTTTTATTCCTTTTAGTGGTTTCGTTGTTGTTATTGGAGTTTCATTTAATAATGAAGTTTAATCAAAAGAACTGCAAAAACATAAAGGTAAAAATTGTTACAGTGATGATAATGATGTTTTCGTTGTTATTTATAATTCAATAAATAATTTGCCAATTATAAAAGATTTTGCTATTCACAAATATAAAATATGTTGCTATTCACTATTTAAGAATTTTTTGTTTATATTTCATTTATTATTTTTAACGTTTTATCATTATTGTTTTTTATTATACTTTTCAAACCATCAATTTTAAATTTCAGAAACAAAAATCTGCAGAATTTTAGAAATTTTTTACCTACATCGTCACATTACACACATTTTAAAAAGGGTTTTCTTTTAAAATTAAATTAATTAATTAAAATTAATTTCCCTTGGAATTTTCAGTTAAATGTATTTAGGAAATATTTTCTTTTGTAAAAACTTCCAGTAATAAATGTGTACAATTATTTTTTTAAATTTCGACATTTATTAAAGTGCAGGGCAAATGACGATAGACAAAATCTTGTACCTGAAGGAGTATTTAGTTCTTCAAAATTTTTTGTTTACGAATTAATTGGAAGGATAGGGATTCAAATATCATTATTGGATATTTTTAAAATGATAAAGTCTTAAAAACAGCTATATAAAAATTAAAAAAAGATAACATTATTACTTCTTAAAAACTTAAAATAACATTAGGTTTATATTTTATTAAACATCAAAAAACATTTCAAAATTAAGGGTATTTTAGAGATTATTGAATTCTGCCTCAATGTAGGTATATTCTAGATTTTAATATAAAATTCAAATGCAATTTCAGAATCAATTCCTAAAGGTTTCCTCTTGCAGGCAAATAGCAAAATATCTATTTGGCAACACTAATAATGGTAGCGACGTGATGAGTAATCCTTAATCCATTTAACAGAGATGAGGTGTAATCCTTTAATTTATCTTTTTAGAATTATTTTTTTGCGTCTGATTTTTTTAATACATACACTTTTAATATTAATATCATATTTAATAGGATTTATATCTGTTACACTTGTAAATTTGTATTATCTTTAAGCAAAGGGTGTTTTTTTTCAATTTATTTAAAGCCCTTAGCGGCTTTTTTCTACTATTTTGTTATACACACTTGTTTTTTAGCATATTTTTCTGTGTATATATATTGCAAATAAAATTTGTTTATTTACACTTATTCTTTGTTTTTAGATTCAAAGAAAATCTATTAATATTTTCATTTATTAGAATATCATTTCATTCACAATTCTTTTCAATAAATTCATTTACAATTTTTTCCATTCCTTTCAAAACACCTACACACACACATTAAAATTTTATACTTTTTGCACCTTCTTTCCTTTATTTTGTATTTTTAATATAATCATGCAATTTTTGTTTCTTTTATTTATAAATTTCACTTGTGTTTTGTATTAAATATTATAATGAAAGCGAAAAATAACACAAATATATTAATTTATTTACGTGTAGCGAAAAATCGACAAAAAACAATAACAAAAACTTTGTTACTATTGGAAAATATACAATTTATGAATGAAGCAGATATATAAACAAATAACGACCGTGCAGACGCTTCAAAATTAGAACCTGTTTTGCGGACGCGTAAAAATCGACTGAAATTTTTTAAAACAAAAAACACGAAATGTCAAAAAATATAGTAATCGGTAGTGTTGCCAACATTATTGTGCCTGAAATCAAAACAAATGAGGCTGCCATATTTTTTACTTTGAACATATCAAAAATCGCTGAAATAATATTTCTGAAACATAGTAATAAATTCTTTTAATTTATTTTATTAATATATATTAAAATTTGTTTATGTATAATAAATAACATTTATATTTTATAATGAATTATTGGCGTGCTATTTAATACAAAAGCCACTTAATATGTTGCTGAAAACTGCCTTATCGACAAATAACTAAAATACAGTTAACGTAAACCATTGTCACGGTAACAAAATAAAAATTTTTGTTAAAAATTTGTTGTTAAATTCTTAATTATACTGCCCATAATTTTTAATTTTTAAATACAAAAATAATTTGTTTATTTATAAAAGCTTCTTTATCGACAAGAAGAATGCAGTTGTCTTAAACCGTTGTAACGACAATAACAGGGTGATCACATATGTTAATAGTTTCTTCCCGCTTAATTGATGTCATAATCGCTAAATTGTCTTCAAAATAGCTCTATTGTCAACACTCTTATTGGAAAAAATGGTGGCAAAAGTTTTTGGTGTTTAAATTTTCGTCTGTAAATTTAATTTGTGTTAAAATATATATTAATATATTATAAATCGTTTAGTGCGACACTTTACTATCGTATTTTACTAAAAGAGTAAGTAAAGAGTATATCTAGTTAATAAAATTCCAAAACTTGGCAAATCATGACCAGCTGGTGGGCAGGTAATCTAATAGATTACGGTTAATTGTTGCCTCAGAGTGTTTCTTTTTTTTGCGCTGGAAGGTTGTGATGTACTTTTAGTTTGACTAAATGTTGGCAATTGCCCTCCAGTCCTGCATTTGAAAAACCTAGGTCTGTAAAAAATATTGGTACCAAACTCGTCTCTACACCGGAGCTTTTAGTTCTTAAAGCTAAATATAGCAAAGTATTTGCTGTTCTTACATTTTTGGGCACTTATTTACATACTTGTACAATACAATCAGATAAGGATTTTACTGTAAAATTTGAGACAGATAATAAAAACAAGTACTCGAGCCAAGATATTGTAAGTCAACTAAGACATGTTAAAGATCATGTACTTCCATAATTTTACCAAGGGATTCGTTTTTGGATTACTCTGATGTAATGCACGGATGGATTACGTGGTCCACACCTAGGATATCATGTTCCCAAAATTTCGCATAAAAAATTGAGACTAGTCCCTATAAAAGTTCAGTATAGTGATGGAATTTGACATAAAAAAGTTTAGTAAGAATCAATATTTATCTTATAAATTTTACATGCTCGGGCTGGGCCGACGGTATGATTGAAACCCTACATCAGTTGTGAGTATATTTAAAATTAATTTGTTTTTTATTGTAAAATAAAAATTGTATAATAATTATGTTGAATCTTACTCTAATTAAGAGATATTTTAATATGTTTCATATTTTTTATTGATGAAAAACTGATTTTTTGGTAATGACTTTATATGGGGGCTAGGGTGAAATGGTCTCGAACATTGAAAATTGCGACACGTAGTTTGGTTACAATATTTACATAGACGGACCGAAGAACGGACATCACTAAATCGATTTGAGCCGATTAATATATTTTAAGGTGGGTGAAGAAACAATATTTCTATTCATTATATACATCAGCAACACCCAAAATACCCTCCCCACTAAAGTGGTGTAACTTATAATCACAAAGGGCCATACGTAATAGACTATATGATAGTCTTTCGAAATTAACTTTAAAATTGTAAGGCAAGTTCTCATTCATTCGGATAGACTGTCCATGTAAATCCTGTGGCCAACGTAAAGGTTGCAATTTTAATTATCTTAGAATTTTGAAAGATCCTAGCTTCACATACCCCTATATAATAATATAACCCTAATGTACTTATACACTGTACTACACAATATCACAAAGAGTGTCAATAAATCCTGCTCTTTAAAAATAAACTACCTAAAACTCTTTACTAAAGTAACTGCATGTTTTCTTCAAACTCGTAAATAAACACAAAATATTCCAATATTGCCTGTTGCTCAAAAATAACAGCAGATTCATTTTAAGCAAACAACAATATCTTTAAGATACATATACTCGATTTTCTATAACTTCTTCATGCACTAAGATACAGACAGAGAGTGAGCGCGAGAAGAAAGAATACGATCTTAGGCGCATGAAGAGAGTGCGTTTCTTTAATAATTTTCAAGACTTTGTAAATGTTTTGCGGCATTTACAGAGTTTAGTAGTGAGTTAAACGTTAATGTTAAATGATTGAAGAACGCTTAAATATAGTGCGGCGGTATTTGAAGTATTAAAGAAAAAAATCAAAATAAATATTGAAAAAAAAAAACAAACTGAACAGATAAAACACTCAAAATAAAGTATTTATATGTTGTAACTTTAGATGTGTTTTTGAAAAAATATGCTATACGAGTGTATGTTTGTGTGTGGTGTCTTTTTTAAAAGAAACTATTATGATCAGTAAGGGGCCCAGGAATTACTTTAAATTACTTTTGACACAATTTTGGTGAAAATCTAAAACATTTTTCCACAAAAACACATGGTAAGTACAATATTGGAAATAATAGTTATTTTATTTTAAGTTATTTAAATATTTTTAAAGGAATGTGGTGTTTATAAGTGATTTATTTTCTTATTAAAATATGAAAATTTTCTTTTTGTAATCATTTACAACTTGTGTATAATAAGTATTCATATAAAAAGTGTAGTGTTTCTTTAACTTTATATTTTCTTTTTTAGGTTTGTCTGTTTTTTCCTTTACTTTTTACTTTATTTTTCTTTAATATGGTTTCTGGTACTGTTTTCTTATTTTCTCCTCACTAAAGTGCATTTCGTATTTCTTTAGTGATCTTCTAAAGTAGACAAAAACATGCCTTTCTTCATTCATGTGGTTTTCATTAATTTTTTACATTTCATTATTGTTGCTTGTTTTTTTTAAGAAAATATCAAAATTATGTATATCAAATTCTTCTAGACAATTTACTTTACTACTTGTTTGTAATTTAAACTGTTATATAGTTTTATATGAAATTTTTGTTTTGTTTGCTTTTATTATTTTTGGAAACAAAACTGCATTGCTAAGCAGAGCATAAACATTTTTTTTACTAAAACTCAAGTTCATTTTTAGTTGTTAATGTAACAGCAAAGGTTTTCTCAGTACTTTAACCTAGGTGGCCATTCCAGTTTTAGTGTTACAATGGAAACGATCTGAAGCTCTTTTTTCTGTTTATTTTAAGGATAAGATGTTTAATTCATAATATTTCAGACAAAAATAGATCTTTGAACTTTATCTTAATGACATCATATCATCGAAAAAATATCCTCGGACTCGTATTGATGCTGCCTTAGATTGAGCCCAAAACGTCTCTAACATTAAAAACCTTTTTTGGCAAAAGGAGCCAATAACCTATTTTATATCAAAGATTCAATTTTTAAATTAAAAGCTTCTTTAAAGCTCAAAAAACTAAAACTCAACCTCAGAGTTCGAATTCCGAGATTTCTTAAACACAGTTTCGATTGTCATCTCTAATACGAAAGAACTATTCAAGTTTAATACTTCATTTGAAGGGAATCAGTACCGTTAATCTGTCGATGTTCAACGACATTTGGATATTCTCTCCGGAACAAACCGAATCACAGACGTCCTAAACTTGTCAACTTAGCAATAGCCAAACGAGTTTTTTTTTCTCCTGGAAAGAATATATGAACAATCGGCAAGGTCAAACTTTAACAATAAGAACATATGCCGATGTCTATGGATACGTTTGAGGCCCTCTGTCATAGGCTTTTCATATAATCTTTACAATCTTCACATGAGGCCGAAGATTTTGTTTTCTTATGTTGAAATTTTAACAATTTTTCCAAATAGAGTATTAAGCTTAGAAAATTCAATGTTGAAATACTATCTGAAACCAACAGAACAATTTTTTCTGTTCAAATACTGGGTCCGAATCACCACATACGTAATCGAGCAAAATTTATGTTAATTTTCCTTCGATATTGAACAAGAAATCTTATACATTTTTGAAAATGTTGATATTGAAATGTATTTCAATACAAAAGCTTCTTTGAATCACGTATGCGGTAATATGGCACGAGATGTCTGTTCTTAAAATTAGCTAAAATATTTATAAGTTCACTGACTCGGAAATCGAATTTGGTCAAATACAAATATATCTAAGGATTGACATAGAAAAAGAACTAACGAATTTTGTACTGTCCGTCTTTATAAAAAATAGAAAAACTGTCAAACATTTTTCATAAAAAATTTCATTAATTTTTAATAATATAATAACTAGTTTTAATTTAAAGTATTTCTATTACTTGTTCAACACTTTAAAATCTAATAAATAATATTAAAATGAACTCTCTCAATTAAATTGTAGTGTATGTACATTTGAATACTTTTCGACCTAGACTACTTAAAAACCAAATATTTTGTTTATTCTTAATAAACAATGACATCAGTGTGTCTGTTAAAAGATCTGTTAAAAATCCTCTTATAAACTCTTATTTAAGCAATTTCTATATTTAAAAAGTATTTTATCTAGAAGAGTATAAAACCTTGTTTATTATTATTTTTTATATTTGTTTTTTTTTTTTCATCCGCCCTGGCTTATTATTTGTCTCATTTAATACATTAAATTGTGTCCAAACACTTTAATTGAGACCAACTGAAATAATTATTTGTCATTTATTCACTTTTTATGTGTGTATGTTGGTGTGTGTATTTTTAATATTTTATAAACAAAAAATTAACAAGATTAAATTTTTTAAAAGATTTAACATTGCATTTTATTATTATATCTACTCTTTTTTTTTTTTCTAAACTAGATATCATTAGCTAATTTTTGTTGTTTGTTCTTTATTATGCCATATATTTTCTAATTCATTACATTTTGCTGATCTCATCTTTATTTTCATGAAAAGTTTTGTTTAGTTTGGTACTCTGTATACATTTTTTGGTTTTGAATATAAAGTGCAAGTTAAACATGTGTTGTTGGCTGTTTAGAAAAACACATGATATTTCATTTACATTTTAGACATGAAATTTAAAAGAAAATAAAACCGACAGGAAACATAATAAACTCGTATGGTCGTCTGTTTAGTAGATTGTATATTAAAGAATTTTTTTGTAAATATGTTTTTTTTTTCAAATGTATTATTATACACCAAAAATTAAAAATTGTCGGGTGAAAAAAACTATTCATTCGTTTTGTTAGATGGTTTTTTTTGTTGTACTCGTTTCTAAAATTTTTAACTGGAGAGTTTTTTTTTCAAACAATTTTGCAAATACATATTTAATTATGTGTACATATTCATTTGTAGTCATTATGGGGTGACCATCTGCTGGTAATTATATATTATATGATAATTTGTTATTAATTAGAATTAATTTTTTTTCAAGTAGAATGGAATTTAAAATTAAGACTGTTACAATTCCCATATTCAATTTCTTCAAAACTTGTGACTCGAAATCGAGCCTGAAGAATATTTCATTAATAATATAATTTCATTGTTCAAAAAATCAAATAAGATTAAGGTTTGTGGGTGAACCACACAGGTATGTGTGTATTCATAAGACCAACAGTTATCCAAAGTGATCCCTCAGAGAAGTACTATTGGCCGGTGCCAATGCCTCCAGTATAATGTAGATTGCCTTTATATAGCTCATTAGGTGTCCTTTCATATAGCTTTGTAAGTTTAATATACTTCACCATTTTCATTGGATTTACTCCCCCTAATTCTTCTAGGTTCTGAAAGAAATAAGATTCAAAACAATGAAATTGATAACGCGATAATGCAACGCATTGACAAAGAAAGTGGAAAGTATCTTCTTCCTCCTCATTCATAACTTAATTTTCTTAAGGAAATATTTAAGCTCATTATGTTCAGTGAAACATTCTTGGTTCGTATTTTTATAATTTCAGAAGTTTTTTAATGCCGTTTTGTCTTCTGGTCTCCATAGAGCCTTCATTTGAATATACCGTGATGAATTGTCCCATAGTGCATCCGATTCAATTTTGAATTTATACCTAATACTTCTATAAACGGAGTCAAGAGCAGGATAAACATCAGCATATGTTGTATTTAAGTTCATATCTGCCCTGCTCGTGCTAATTCGTCTGCAATTTCATTCCCAAGCTGAAGATTTTACTAAAAATTCAATTTTTCACTAAAAATTTCACTTAACACTAAAAATGAAGAACTTTTCATTAAAAAAATTATATATTTCACTTTAAATTTAATTTTTTTTAAATGTTTAGTAAAAATTATATTTCATAAAAAAAGCTTTTTCTAACTAAAAATATTTAATATCCAAACACACAAGTAAGTGTGCAAATAGCCTGGTCACCTTTTCTTTTTTAGCTTCACTACTTTTTATGCATATTTACTTCATTCATTATTCTCAGTAAAATGTAGATTTACTCATTCACTCACTCCCAGTTCGATCAACGGATCGAAAATGAAATAATTGTTTGTTTTGGGCTACATGTTTTATTTTTTTTCTGCGGTTTTATGATGTGTATTCTAAATGTGGTCCAGTCGTATTGAAATTGTCTATATTTTTGCCTGCTGAGTTTGGCCACACGTTTCTTTGGAACTTTATACAACATTTTTTTAATTAAATATTAAATTTTTGATGTAGTCTCTGTCTGCTTTTTATTATGTTTGTTTATATTAAAATTCAATTGTTTATACGAATGATTGGTCAATAAACAAAATGTTATTAAAGGTTTCTTGAAGAATTTATGTTTTGTTTTTTCCCAAAATTAGTAAATCCGCAAAGGGTTAATAATTACCATACAGACTTCATACAGCAAAACTCTTTTTTTTTTTCAAGTCTAATATTTGCACTTAATAAATACACAAAAAATTTAAATACAATGCAAATATTTATTATACAAATGAGATAAAAAAATATATTTTTCGTCGTTTATTTTAATTTTTTCTTCTTTCAACTCATGGTACAAAAATATTGTAGAATTCCTAAACACAAGTATGTTATGATTACTAAAGTAATTTTCACAATAAATTAATATAATTTTGAAACTAGTAGCATGAGCTCATTTTTAATAATTAAGTGAAAAAAAATGCAATTCAGTGACTGCTTAAATAAAAATACATATTTCGTTTTTTTACACAAAATGTGTTTAATATTAACAAAAATAATAAGAATATATAAATAACTTTTCTAATCAGTGAATGAACTCTTATCAAAAAATTATTTTAAAATAAATAAAAAAGAAAAGTATAACAGAAAAGAAAGGGTCAAGCCCAGCCATCTTAGATTAAAGAAATACATTTTGGAAAATTAGTTTTAAAGTATTATTATTAAAGTTAAAAGAACTATTTTATAGAATTGAAATTATAAATTTTCTTGTTTGGACTCCTTTTGGCCCACTTTTTAATAATTTTTATCCTGTTTTTACAACAAAACAAATCTAAATCTCTATTCCTAAATATTGTTTAAGGCTTTCATATTATTTAATAAAACTTACTTAAGAAAAAAAAAAAAACATTTCACATAAAACAAATCAAAACATAAATTCTCAAAAGATGCTGATAAGAATTTTTATTCATAAGAATGAAAAAAAAAATGTAAAATGAGTCCACATGTCACTGTATTTGTTTAAGAATAACTGATAAAAAATGCTTTAAAACTATAAGGCTTACTTAAAAAAATAAAAAACACAAACTAAATGTACAATGTATAATATTTTTATCGCCTTCATTTCTCATGCATGTTGTACATTTTGAGTTTCTTTTCATTCAATTCACTTGAATATTTTATGTACATTTTTATATGTGTGTATGCTTTAAGTATATTTTCGAAATTTAATCTCAGTCTTGGCGAGTATCTGGACGGGTTCGGTTCATAGCGGATTTCGAAAAAAAACAAAAGCACTTAAATAACGGATAAACTTTTAAAATAAAAAAAAACTAAACGTTTGGAGACCCGGTATTGAAAATAATTAATTAAATATCTAATATTGTTTATATAATAAAATACATTTCATAATCTTGACATCATTATAATAAATCTATAAATCAATTTGTTTGAATTCTGTATATTTGAATATATAGAAGTGTCAATCAATTAAACTGTTGCTTAGTTTAAAATTAGATTTTTTTTGTCATTTCAAATCTTACTCGTAATAGTGGTGACTTAATCTTTGTAGTGAAAAGGAAATAACTACCAAATATGCTGATAAGAATTTTATTTCTAACAAAAAATAATCTAAAAATGGCGGAAATCTTTATTTTTTGTAAAGTGAATTATGGTGATTACTTTCACTAAGTACAAAAAAACTCTTCTTTTAGAAGAATAAGAAAATAAAAAGCAGACTTTTAAAAGGATTAAATTACATAATAATTTGAAAAAAAATATTCTACAAACACAATATGGATATGATAAAAGGATTAATAAATAATCAAAGGATTGATAACGATAAACATAAAAGGATAACTTTTTTAACTGAATAATATAGTGAAAATGATTTCAACATTAACAATATCAATAAAATATTCCTTGTTTTATAAAAAATTAAAAATATAAAAAATAAAAATTAATTTAACATTTTTGACGCCAAAAAAACACATTGAAAAAATAATCAAAAACCAATTAATTAACGAAAATTAAATTTGAATAAAAAATGTAGTTTTTGGTGAAAAATTGAATTTAAAAAAAAAAATTAACAAAAAATCAACTTTTAGTGGAAAAACGAAATTTTTAGTATAAAACGAAAAATTATATACTTTTTTTACAAAAAGTAAAAAAAAAAAATATTTTTAGGAAAATAATAACAAGAATTTAAATTTTTGGAAAAATTTTAAATTTTAGTAAAAATTTAAAATTTTAGTAAAAATGTAAAATTTTAGTAAAAATATTATGTTGAGATCTTCTCTTAATAATATCCTTATGAGGACCAGCTAAATGTTTCCTGCCTATGATATGTCTACCGACGGTTAAAGCCTTCGGCAGTATAGGTATCAACATGCTTCTTTTTTGAATGAGGTAGCAGGTTCTTCTTCCTTTATGCTCCAAAGAAGACGATCATCTTAAAATATTGAATGACAATAGATTTTCCTTTAGCTTTCCGCCTTTCTCTCGATTGACCCTATTTTATTCTTCTCTCTGCGGTAGGAGTACGGCGATATGCTCCTCAGAAAGGGCAGAGTCGACTCCTCCAATTTCATTAAGACCGCCGCACATGTTCTCAGAAATATCTGCCATATTTGACAGTTTTCTGATTCATCTCCATCAATTTCTCTAACGGAGTCTCTCTTGAGAATCTTTCATTCTCCCTTTGTCCTTTTCGAAGCTGTAGTATACATACATATATCTAAGGCTTAAATGATTTAAATGAATTTGATGTTTAATTTCCCTCAATTTTCTTTTCAAAATACATTTAAGTTTTTTATTTATTTTATCCAAAATGTATTTGAAATGTTAGTAATCGCGTATTAAGCCTTTATGGTAAAATTCCATTACAAAGATTTGATTTTTATTACATACAATTAACATTCATAATTCTTATTTATGGAGAAATTTTTAAATCGAAAGTTTTAAGTAAATTTAGTACATCATGTAATAATTTTTCATGAAAGCACCATATTCCTTTTATACAAATATTTAAATTCCTTTGAAATATGTAATTTCTAATAACTATTACTTTTGCAGATCCCCATTCAACTGCTTTACATTCAACTATAAAAATTATAAATAATTTCACTATAAAAACAAGTAAGTTTATATTTTTTTAATTAAAATAAAATTTAAATAAAACAATATCCATTATTTTTCAGGTGAATTTATTGCAAATCAAACGAACATGTTATGAATGAAGAGAGCTAAAACATTCTAAAGAAAGTGAAGAAGGTTCTATAACCAGCCGCATAATTAAAAAAAACTTATCTCTACGAATTGAACTCAAAAAAACGAAATTAGAGCGTCTTTTGCTCTATAGGGTCTTTATTGTGATTAAGACCGGAAATTTATAAACTGAAGAACAAGTAGTATCCACACACGAACACACACACACCAAATAAAATTACACAAACAAGTCAAGTGACGGAGAGAAATCATCATCAAGCTAAAATAGCTTAACAACATGACAAAGTCATGCTGGAGCGGCTCTGCTAGCAGCCGCTTCACGCTTATCACAACATTATTTGTTATTGTATTATTAAGTATTTCTTGTTTTGTACGCACAATCGATGCTCAGCAAAAGCATGCTGGTCGACGTGATCGTCCTCGCAATCCTCCCCGTCAATATGTAAAAACGCATCCTTGTGAAAGATCCTCCTGTTATCCAGCTACTGGTAATTTGTTGATTGGTCGCGAAAATCGTTTAACAGCATCTTCAACTTGTGGTCTGCATTCGCCTGAACGCTTTTGCATCTTGTCCCATTTGCAGGATAAGAAATGTTTTCTTTGCGATACCCGTGAAGAAACACGCAATGATCCCTACAAAAATCATCGCATTGGTCAAATAGTGTACAAAACAAAGCCTGGTAGCAATATACCCACTTGGTGGCAATCGGAGAACGGCAAGGAAGATGTTTCTATACAATTGGATTTGGAAGCTGAATTCCATTTTACGCATTTAATTATGTCATTCACCACTTTCCGTCCGGCCGCTATGTATATTGAACGTTCGTTCGATTTTGGTCAGACATGGCATGTATATCGTTATTTTGCCTACGATTGTGCCGACTCTTTCCCCGGTGTACCCACTGTATTGCGCAATATCACTGATGTTGTATGTACCTCTCGTTATTCGAACGTAGAGCCCTCACGTAACGGTGAAGTCATCTTCCGTGTCCTACCTCCTAATATCAATGTCACAGATCCATATGCTGCTCATGTACAAAACATGTTAAAGGTAACAAATCTACGTGTTGTTTTTAAAAAACTCCACAAATTGGGAGACAATTTGCTCGACAATCGTTTGGAAAATGAAGAAAAGTATTATTATGGTATCAACAACATGGTTGTACGTGGTTCCTGTTCCTGCTATGGTCACGCTTCCCAATGTTTGCCTCTGGATGGCACCGAAGCTACCGAACCCGATATGGTACATGGTCGTTGTCAATGTACCCACAACACCAAAGGTTTCAATTGCGAATCATGTGAAGATTTCTTCAATGACTTCCCCTGGAAACCCGCCTTTGGTAAACAAACCAATGCCTGTAAAAAGTGTGAATGTAATGATCATGCAGTCAGTTGTCATTTCGATGAAACCGTTTTCGAGCAATCGGGTCGTGTTTCTGGAGGTGTTTGTGACAATTGTATGCATAATACTCAGGGTCAGCACTGTGAAGAGTGTATGCCATTCTTCTACCGCGATCCCTTGGAGGACATTCGCAGCCCGTATGTCTGCAAACCTTGCGATTGTAGCTTGATTGGTTCTTTAGATGAAGGCATTTGTGACTCTGTAAATGATCCCGAAAATGGTGCTGAAGCCGGTTCATGTCATTGTAAAACTCATGTTAAGGGTCGCCGTTGTGATACCTGTAAAGATGGTTTCTGGAATTTGGTAGAAGAAAATCCTGATGGTTGTGAACCCTGTACTTGCAACACTTTAGGTACTGTGGATAATTCTGGATGTAATATGTATACAGGCGAGTGTACCTGCAAACGTTTGGTTACCGGTAAAGATTGTAATCAATGTGCTCCCGAAACCTATGGGCTTTCAGAATCTGAAGATGGTTGCACACGTTGTGATTGTGATATTGGTGGATCCTATGATAACTTCTGCGATGTTATTACCGGTCAATGTCGTTGCCGCCCTCATATGACGGGACGCACCTGTTCCCAACCTAAACAGAACTATTTCATACATCAATTGGTTTTAGTTCATGAGGCTGAAGTAGCCAAACATTGCATTTCTTACTCCAATAATGGCAATTGCACAATGGTACCTTATCAGCCACCTCAGGATCGTATTCCTGACTCAACAGGCATTGGTTTCATACGTGTTCCAGAAAATTCCGAACTTATTATAACTGTTGATGATATACCACGCTCCATGCCTTATGATGTAGTCATTCGTTATCAATCCACTTCCAGAGGAGATTGGGAAGATGCCTTTATCACTTTAATTCGACCTGATGAAGTAGATCCCGAAGGAGATTGTGCTGCAGCAGTGCCACCTGGTTCTAGTGTGTATGAATCTCGCGTGCCTTTCTACTTACCCGATCGTGAACGTCAAGTTATTGCTTTGCGTGAAGTTTGCTTGGAGGCCGGCAAGATTTACAAATTCAAAATTCACTTCGAAAGACGCAGACACAACGAAGACAATCCTACTGCCACCATAATGATCGATTCTCTGACATTGATACCACGCATTGAGCTTACTAGCGTGTTCAGTGGTACTCCTGTTGCCGATTCGCGTCGCCAAGAATACTATCAAATGGGTTGTAATCAATCTTTGTACGATTTACGTTACGGAGCCTTTGCTGATGAACGCTGTCGCGAATTGGAGAATTATGTTAGTACCATTATATACGACGGTGCCAGTATGTGTAATTGTAATCCCACTGGATCGCTGAGTAAAGAATGTGAATCTAAAGGTGGTTATTGTCACTGTAAACCCAATGTTATTGGTCGCCAGTGTGATCAATGTGCACCCGGTACATATGGTTTTGGACCAGAAGGTTGTAAAGCTTGTGACTGCAACAGTATAGGAGCTAAGGACAACAATTGTGATGTTATTACTGGTCAGTGTGGTTGTCATCCCAACACCTATGGTCGTGAATGTGATCAATGTCAACCAGGTTTTTGGAATTTCCCTAATTGTCAAGCCTGTGAATGTAATGGTCATGCCCAACAGTGTGATGCTCGTACTGGCCAATGTTTGAATTGTGCTGATTTCACTACTGGTTATGCTTGTGACTCCTGTTTGGATGGATATTATGGCAATCCCTTCTTGGGTAGTGAAATAGGTTGTCGTGCATGTCGCTGTCCGGATACTATTGCCAGTGGCAATGCTCATGCTGATGGCTGCTCTCTAGATTCTCGCAACAACAATATGATTTGTCACTGTCAAGAAGGTTACGATGGACCTCGTTGTGATATTTGTGCCGATAACTACTTTGGTGATGCCGAAACTCCTGGTGGCTCCTGTGAAAAATGTGACTGTGGTAACAATATTGACATATACGACACTGGTAATTGCGACAGACGTACTGGCCAGTGTTTGAAATGTTTGTACGACACCACCGGAGATCATTGTGAACATTGTCGTGACGGCTTCTTTGGAGATGCTTTACAACAAAATTGTGTTCAATGTGATTGTGATTTCTTAGGTACTAACAACACCCTACAATATTGTAATCGTGTTACCGGTCAATGCCCTTGTTTGCCCAATGTTGTTGGTTTGCGTTGCGATGAATGTGCCGTCAACCATTGGAAAATTGCTTCTGGTGAGGGTTGTGAAGCTTGCGAATGTGACCCTATTGGTTCCTTATCCGAACAGTGCAACCGTTATGATGGTCAGTGCGAATGTAAGCAAGGATTTGGCGGTCGGGCTTGTAATCAATGTCAGGCCAACTACTGGGGTAATCCCAATGAAAAATGTCAACCATGTGATTGCGACCCTTATGGTTCTGCAGACTTCCAATGCGATCGTGAAACCGGACAATGTGTATGTCACGAAGGAATTGGTGGCTACAAATGTAATCAGTGCGCTCGTGGTTATATTGGTGAATCGCCTCATTGCATGCCATGCGGAGAATGTTTCAACAATTGGGACTTGATCCTAAAAGAACTAGAAGAGGCTACCGCTGAAGCTATACAAAGAGCCAAGGAAATCAAATTGATTGGAGCTACAGGAGCTTACACCTCTGAATTTAATACTTTGGACAAAAAGTTGCAAAACATAAGAGATTTATTGCAGAACACTTCGGTAAGCTTGAAGGATATTGATGGTTTAGATAAGGAAGTTGCTGAATTAAGAACCAAATTGAACAAAGCTGGACAAAAACTTATTGAAACAGAGGGTAGTTTGGAAGACATTTACTCTGCTCTTAGTTTGTCTGCTGTGGAATTGGAAGGTTTGCAAAGCCAATCAAATTTGGTGAAAAAACTATCACAAGACTTAAAGGAACATGGCATACAATTGCAAGAGTCTAATATTGAGGGCGCTCTTAACTTGACCCGTAATGCCTATGAACGTGTTTTGGATTTAGCGAATATCAAGAATGAAGCAGAAGATTTTGCCAGCAACACTGACCGTAATTGCAAACGTGTGGAAACTTTGGCGAACAAAATGAAAGATGATGCTTCGGCAATTACCGCCAATGATGAAATTATCGAACAATATAACAAGGAATTGTCTTCTTTAACCGCCTTGATTCCTAATTTAAACAATGAAGTTTGTGGCAGCAAGAGTGATCCTTGTGACAATGTTTGTGGTGGTGCTGGTTGCGGCTCATGCGGTGGCCTATCTTGTGAAATTGGTGCACTTACACGCACAGAAAAGGCTTTGAAGGTGGCCAAGGACACTGAGCAAGAGATTAAAGAGAAGAAGGATCAAGCCGATCAAACTATTCGTGCCTTATTCCAGGCTAAAGTAAATGCGTCAGAAGCTTATCAAAAAGCCAAGAGTGCCCATGAAGATGCTGAACGTTATTTGAATCGTACTGAACTCAATATCAAACGTGGTGAAGCCATGATACAAAACTTGACAGATTTTATGAAAAATCAAACTGCCCTGCCAGCCGATACTAAAGAATTAGCCCAGAAAACTTTGACACTAGATTTAACTTTAGATCCCTTTGAAATTCAAAACCTGGGAGGTAAAATCAACAATGCTGTATCTTCTCTCAAAAATGTAGAATCTATTATTTATAACACTCGAAGCGATTTGGAACGTGTCAATGAATTACAAGCTAAAGCTAATGCTACCAAAGAGCTGGCCAACGAAATATTAACCACTGCCAATACTGTAGTCAAGAATCTTGATGATGCTGATATCTCACAAGAAATTGCTCTCGATGCTATTTTGCAAGCGAACAGTAACATTGAATTAGCCGCCAAAGATTTAGATCAAATTGATGCTGAAACGAGTGAAGCGGAAGCACCTGCTAATGCTACTGCTCAACATGTGGAGGAATTGGCTAAAAAAGTTAATCGCCTACAAAAGAATATACTCAAAAATGAACTTGATGCCAAGGATGTCAAAAATGAGGCTGACAAAGTTAAAGAATCGGCTAGAAATGCCCATGCTGATGCTCAACAACTACAACACTCCTCCTCAGCTGCCAACCAGACTTTAACCGATCGTGCCATACGTTCAGAAAATGCTCGCGAAAGAGCAAAACAACTGTTGCAGAGAGCCTCCAAACTAACAGTCGACACTAAAGAGAAACTAAGAGAACTAAAACTTATGCAAGAATCCTATAGAGAAAAGAACGATAAACTACAAAAACTACAAGATACTTTACAACCATTACACGCTGAACTCTCAACACATTTGAAAAACATACAAACGAATGCTGAGCGTTATCGACAGTGTTAGAAAATATTGAAATTTTTTAAATTATAACGAGTTAAAGCGTTTAACCAACGATATACTTAAAGACTTTTTGATTACTCTTCTGCTTACTCGTTTGAATATTTCCTGTATTTATCATTACATCTCTTAATACAAACACAAAATGCCATAACGAAGAAACAAATAAACAAATGCATATGTCCCTTTTTTTGTCCTCTTTTAAGTAAAATAATTACAACAACTGTTTGAAAAACCAATGTTATTAGAAATAGTTTTCTATTTAAGACGACCATAGTTTAATTTTAATTTTCTTTTAAATGCAATATTATATTATTTTTATACAAAATACAATAAAAATAAAATAAATATTTTTTTTTTGTTTCGGATAACAAACAAGTCCTAATTACTATGTGCCTTTTATAATTAAAAATATAGCAATGTTTAACAACTCGAATACGAAATTAAAATGCTTTTGTCATTTCTTTTTTTTAAGTATAATTCATTACTTTTTTATATATATTTGATGTTTAAAGATTAAAAATAAAATTTAAAAAAATATAAAATTGTTTTGGTTTTCTTTTTTCGGTGTGGGGTAAGTCGTCTGTGATATTTTTTGGTTAAAACAGCTGTGTCAGTTCTTTATTGTGAAATATAATCAGTTAAATGTTCAAATTTATTAAAGCTTTCGTACCGATTCAAATATTGTATTTTTTCTCATGGCCCCATTTTTCGGTTGTAATATCTAAAATTTATTTCTGCGATCCTATGTATTATTCAGAATCCTTATTTGTAATGAGTTCCCAACTTAAAGCAACTTATTTTCTTTTTTTGCAAATTTATTATATTAAGACCCACTGTGTTTAATACTAATGCCTTAAAATATGCTAAAATTTATATGAATAGATATTTCTCAAAATGACTAAAGAAGCCAATAAAAATAAAACCCCAACAAAAAAAGTAAATGTACCTACTACAACCAGTTCGGAATTTGATGTATTTTTAAAGAATCAACAACATATAGTAGCCCGGCTCAAAACCGAATTGAAATCGGCCATTAGTAAAGTTAAACATGCCGACTGTGACACAGCAGAAAAAAGAAAAAGTTTTGTCGAATTGGAACTAAGGTAATCAAATAATGATATATTTACTTAAAATATTTTCCTAAATTAAACACTTCTCCAGCATTAATCAACGTGATGGTAAAATACATACACTCACCACCAATTTGGAACAATTAAAAGAAGAAAATAAACATATTTTAATGGAATTTAATATGTTTAAAAACAAGTTCTGTCAACTAGAAACTGAGTATGATAACAATATGCAACAACTTAAGATGGAAAACGAAATGTTATTGGAGCAGTTGAAAAAACAAGAAACCACAGAGAATCAGCATATACAAGAACTTTCACTTTGTTGTCAGGAATTACAACAAAAATTACAGGATAATTTAAAAGATTTCACTGATTTAAATAAGCTACACAAGGAAACTTTGCAGAACTATGAGCAAATGAAAATAAATTTTGAAGAACAAAAGAAAGAATTTGAATTGTATAAAAACCAAGTAAATGAGGAAAGGGATTTAGAGAATGAAAGATATAAAGTATGGTGATCAAGTTTAACATAAGATCAGCATTAATTCATTAACGCTTTTCTTTTTAGCTTGAGTTTGCCAAACTATCAAATGAAATAAGAGAAAAGGACGATATGTTACAGCAGTGCATAGCAGATAAAAATCTTTTGGAAAAGGAGAAAAACGTAAATATGTTATTTAATAAAATAATTAAACAACTCCATTTTTTAAATTAAAAAACATATAACTGAAAATTCTTTTATATTTTTTTAGCTTGTAATAGATGGACTTAATAATAAAATTTATCGTATTGAAAAGGCCTTCAATCAACCCACAAAAGTTGTAACACCCATGGTAACTTTGCACCAGCAAGTGGATGATAATTTTGATAATAATTCTACTTCAGAAGTATGTATTTAAAAAAAAATATATTTTTTAACTTTTCACTTAAGCAAATATTTACGAATGTTAAATACATTGTATTTTGTACTGGTTTTGTTTCGAATTGAAATATTTCCCTGAATATTCTAAAGATTAACTGGCTTTAGTTAGAATTATGTAAAAATTTATTAAATTATAAAGCAATTGTTATCAAAATTTTTACTGACGAAGATTGTAACATTCCTCTGAAGTTTCGTAACTTGTTCCCGATATCCAGCAGAGAAATTTCCTCACTTGTGATGTGAGCATTACATATTAATGCATTATATGAGTTGGGGTAGGAGTAGGAAAAAGCTTTTGCTGGGTTATAGTAAATTCTTACTGAAACCTGAGGAAGATAATGAATTAATTTGATTCGAAACAAAATTGTTCCTAAATTTCAAATACAGCCACAATTACAACCAATAAATTTCTCTACCTTTAGAGTTCTAATGATAATGTGGCCATATCTAAATCTCAAGTACGCAGACCATTAGAAATTCTTTCAATACAATCTTTGTCAAATAATGAAAATCAAAAATCTGAACAAAATCAAGAACAACGTAACTACAAGTTTAAACGTCCCATACAACCCACTACCAGTTCTCAGCAAACGAATGTGGCTACAAATCTCAATACAAATAATAGAAAACGACGAAACCAACCACAAAGACCAGGAGCAGTAAAGAATTACAATGAATTTTCAATGTCATCTAGCGATGATGATAGTAATTATAATGGTTTCTCTCAGTTACTTTGGCGTCCAAATGCGGAGTGTGTAAGTAAATGTTAAAACAACTATTTCCTTTTTTAAGACACAGTACTTTTTTACAGTACGTTCCAGATACAGATGCCTCCGAAGGTTTTGCTAAACCAAAACGCAACAAAAAATAATTGATTTATTTTTTTTAACGAAAATACTCTTGAATTGTTTATTTGTTTTTATTACTTTTAATTTTATAAAGAAACTTCAAACGATTTGTTTATACAAAACGTTTAAAGAAGTTTTATTTTTAATAATCTCTTCTTGTTTTAACGTTTTTAAATACATTTGTTGTTGAATTAAAAAAAAATTAAAGATTTAATCAATTATACCCAATACTCTAGCTTTGCTCATATAATCAGTTCTTTGAACATAGCAACCAGTCATGGTCCTATGACCAGTATAGGCATGACGTCCATGATATACTCGCCAGTTGTCAAATATAACTATAGTACCAGGTTCCAACTTAAGACGCCATTGATTTTCCTTACTTTGTACAATTTCCAAAAATTGACGAAAACTTTCATAAAACTCAGACATTTGATGTTGAGGCAAAGTATTAAACACCGCACGATCATAGACATTTAAACGTAATTGTATAATTTCCTGAGTATTGGGATCCAAGCGAATAATTGGTGCCGAATGAGTATGATGTTGACCATCTTCTATATACTCGGCTGGTACATGAACTTTTGTAAGCATTTCAAAAGCTTTAGGATTACGTCTTTTCAATTCTAAGGCACAATGTAAACCATCGACAAAAAAGTTCTCACCACCCGTACCATTAACATGTTCCAGACAATGCAGAGCTTGTAGACCGGCAGCATCACAAAAGTATGTATTATCAGTATGAGAACCAATGTACTCTTTGGTGTAAGCTGTATCAGCATGATCGGGGGCATCGGAAAAAGTATACATTTCCCCAAAAAATGTTTTCATTACTGGGAAAACTCTACGTATGGCCATTTCTGTCATAGTGGTATTTGCCGGCACTTCATCTATAAACACCAGACCATAACGTATCAGTGAGGTAACTAAATCTTTCACACAGGACTCCTTGCCCACCAAGTCGGTAAGTTTAAAACGTAAATGTCTTTCATTTTGTAGAATTATGGGTAAATTCCATTTAGTTTTAGTAGAATGAAAATGATTACTTAATTTATTATTCTCCACTTGCACCAAATATATAAAATCCATATCGTATTGTGAAACATGACCATCACTCCCTAGAAAGTATGACGTGTCTATACAAAGTTCAATATATATTATTTAACTCAATACTTACAGTTTACTTTCAATAATTTTCCTTCATTTAAATAGGTAATTTCTTCAGCTTTAACATCCTTGGGTATATCTAATAGATTATATCTTCTCTGTTTGGTGGTTTCATTATAACACTTATTACATCTGCAATGATCTCTTAGCCAAAATTGATCAATTTGCAAGTATTCATCTTTAGCACTGTATTTAATTTTCAACATTTTTCTTTTCAATGTCTTAAGCTTGACTTCTGGCAGTAAACTAATTTTGTGAGATTTTTTTGAATATTTATAAAATAATCTTTAGCATAGAATGTATATAAATATTTATTTATTCTACTATTAAGAGTGATAAGGAATATCTCTTTGCTTGAAAATTTTTTTCCACAAAAATTACTGATAAGTATAGATGAGTTTGGAGAGGAAAGTATACAGAGATGCAGATGATTTTTAATAATGTATTTTAAAAACATTTATTTTTAATTTTCAAAAAATATATATTAAAGAAATGCATTAAATACATATATATCATCCTTCTATTGCTTGAATAATATTGATAAAAATTATAAATATTTACGTTTAGGTTTTTCAGTAATGTTATTTTTTGCTGCATATTATCTATTTAATATGTTCGGCAATAATTATTTACATAATTAAACATTTCCTTTTCAAATTAAACGCTTTATAACATCGTATTTCCAAAAATCGATTCAAATATTCATGACAAAGCATTTTTCACAAATTCGTTTGAACAGATAAACAAAAATTTAAATAATTTTCTAAATTTAATCATCATTGTTAATGAGGTCATTCACCTTAATTCAGATTTTTAGTCATCTTTTAGTGAAAAATTTATTTTTTCACTTATTAGTGAAAAATCGAGTTTTTTAGTACAAAAAAATGTAATTATTAGTGAAATATCGAATTTTTATTGAAAAACCGGATTTTTAGTAAAAATTTTAATTTTTAATAAAAAATCGAATTTTTTGCAAAAAATTTAATTTTTGATAAAAAATCAAATTTTTTGCAAAAAATTTATTTTTTGGTGAAAATGAGTTTTTACTAAAAAATTTGAGTTTTAGTGGATTTTTAGTAAAAACCGAAATTTCTGTTGAATTTTCAATAAAAAATGGAATCCTAATTTTAGCAATTAAATGCCGTAAACATATTTTTAAAGATTTATATCAAACTTGTTCGAAATCTTATATTCGATAGTTATTTTATTATAATAACAGAAAATTACGATCAACATTATTCATTAATGAATGCGATCATTCGGCTCCGAACTTTTCCAACATACGCAACAAAATACACAATGCAATGAAACCAACATACATAATTTTTTTCGCTAAGCTGTGTTGTTGTTGCGTATTTATCAAAACATGCAAAAAAAAAATTTTTTTTTTGATGAAATTTTCAGCGTTTGTCTCGGATTTTTGATTATATCTCCGTTATTTACGACGGATTTTGCCCATTTTAAATAGGAAACTTCACGAGAGCATGTCTAACAGAATTATTGAAGATTTGTGTCCCGAAGATA